ATCTGATCTGTTTTAGACCTTAATTGTTGGTATTTTTATATTCTCTAATTTTTTTATATATCTTGTGGTTCCTTGTGTATGTACTGAAACTCTGGTACAACAATTTCCTGCGAGACCAATAAAGTTCTATCCTATCCTATCTTTTCTTTTATTATCTTTTCTTTTATTATCTTATCTTAGCATGCAATGTGAGCTAGAGCCAACTGAGCACTTAAAGAGCCATTATTAATGTAAGAGCAAAAACCAGAGAACATAAGCTGCTGTCAGCCACAACTCGTGCTGGACCCAATGTTACCACCTTGATGCTCAGTGGCTCTCCTCCACAGCTTCAAACTGACAGTGTCTACTCTTGAGACAATTTTTTCTCCATACTATGACTGTAGTCAGGTTTCTGTAAGACAAAAAAAAATCAACATGATTAGTTATGAAATCGTTAACTAACACAAAGGAGGTCTTACATTCAAATATAACTTCTTGGTCTGTTGCCTTCATACATCTCCTCCTACATGTCTCTGCGTGAGTGCAGCTACGGAGTGCGCTCTCAGGACATGGTTACCTGCAGTGTTCCCTCAATGAGGACTGAACTAGGCAAAAGGGCCTTCTCCTATTCCGCTCCTGTTTCCTGGAATATCTTACAAAAAGATTTGAAGCTCTCGACCTTGACCTCTCTAAGTGTCTTTAAGAATCTGTTGGACACCTGGCAGGGTCCAATGCTGACATGTTCCTGTTTTTAGTTTTCTACATTTGTCTTGAAATCTAGCTGTTTTTTCTTTTTTTTTGTTTGGTTTTGTTACCTTTCCCTTTTAGCCATCCTATTTGTTAAAAAAACAAACAAAAAAAAAACCCTGCAGTATGACTCTTTATAACTGTTTATTGTTGTTGCTGTTGTCCATTGTTGTCATCTTTCTTTGTTGAAATCAGGTCTCTCTTGTAAATGAGTCCTCGAGGCTCAATGGGATTTACCTGTATAAATAAAGGTTGATTGATTACATTCAAATATTTACATTTAATAGTTTTATTTTCTGTTTTCAGGATTTTTTTCTTCCTTGAGCCAATTTTTGGTTAATTTAAAGTGTTTTCTTTCTGCTTAGGTGCATCAAACAGCAGCTCCACCAGGTGAGAACACACCTGAACCTTCCATTGTAAGGTGTAGGCTGCTATTTGCCCACTCACCTGTTCTCTTAATGTTTACCTGCAGAATTTGAAACTACTGCAAAGGAAGTGGAAGAAACTGAAAAGACATCACCACCCAGGTCAGTGGTTTTTCTTGCAGTACCAAACTACGCAGAGGTTAGAGAAGGTGGGCCTGTGATTAGAAGATAGCCGGTTCAACTCCCGGTACCAACCACGTCAAAATGTGGGTGGGAAAGGTGATGCATCCACACTTGTCTCCACCCTCATTTGTCCCACTCTGGGCACTTGAGCAAGGCCCTTAACCCCCCCCCCCCCCCCCCCAATCTGCTCCTCTTGATGTCTTTGATAGCAGCTCTCTGCTCCACACAAAGGGCTGTGGTAGCTCAGTGGTCTGTGGTTGTGTCAGGAAGAGCATCCAGTGTAAAAACAATTGCCTGTGGCAGACACAAACATATATATTTCATGCCAAAATGTAGGTTCTTGTTGTGAAAGGGACAAATTATAAGAGGATAAGACCAACTGTTGTCATTCACTTTTTTTTCTGATTTTTGATGTTTACTGTTTTTGTTGACCACAAGCCTCACACTTTTGCTATTGCAAAAGTTTCTGGACCATGGTCGGTGTGGCAACAACGGCGTTTGTCCGCCATTACGGAGTTTACTACGGACATTCAGCATGTGGCTGGCAAGAATAACCTGGTGGTTGACTGTCTGCCCAGAGCTAGGGTTGCTTCTGTGCACTTAGGCGTGGATTGCCTCGCCATGGTCGCAGATCAACTGACAGACCTGAGTATTCTGGCCTTTAAGGCAGCCAAATCCAGTTTGCATTTGGAGGTGGTTTCCTTTCATGAGTGTGGTGCAACCCTTCTTTATGATGTCTCGTCGGTGGGTTTTTGATGGTGTTCATTCCCTTTCACACCCGTGGGTGAAAGCATCAGTAAAACTGGAAGGGGCAAAGTTTGTGTGACCAGGGCTCCCTAGAGATGTATGCACATGGGCGGCTTCCTGTTTAGCTTGGCAGCGTGCCAAGGTGCAACGGCACACTAAGGCTCCGCTGGAAAAGTTTCCTATTCTACAAAGGAAGTTTGAGCATGTGCATGTGGATTTAGTGGACACACTTCCACCTTCTAGAGGTCTTACCTATCTCCTGATGATGGTGGACAGAACTACTCACTTCACCACTTGCTTTTCTCGAGATCGGACGCTTCTCCCCTCCCCTCCCCTCCCTCTCTGCTTTGCTTGTTGCTCTGTCTGTGAAACTTTTTCTGAGATTCTCATGCATATCTTCCAAACCATAATTATGGACCTGTTTTGATCAGTTGGTCCCTCAACTCAATTTACAACATTTCTTCGAAGAGAAGACAGGCTTTAGGCAAACCGATTTGCCCTGTTGGCATGCATGCAGCTGGATATCTCATCGACTTGGAAGACTTGGTGATGTGTCTATCTCTGCTGTCACTTGTGGATTTTAAGGACGCATATTTAATTAGATTTACGATAACTGGTTCCTGCTTTTTGGATTCGGCTGGTTGCTAGTTTTATCTACAATCAAGGAAGTCGTCGGCAACAAATTTTGGACCTGATCACGCTGCTTGCCTTGATGATGGCTTGGTTCGTGTCTCAAGTACCCGGACTCAAATGCTTTGGGCTGAATGGATCAGATCTTGGGGACTTTACTCAGTCATGTTCCATCGGTGTGGCCATGTAATTTGGACATTTTGGAACCGAGAGGACCAACACAGACTCAAGGTAGATGTCATTAAGTTCTGCCTGTCCCCAAAACAACTGTGTGTTTATCTGAAATTGGCTCCCTTGGCTGGCCTTGTAGGTCATCTTATCTGAATTTGCCTGGAGAACATGTGATCTGACGCTCACCACCCCCTCCCTGAGGAATTTCCAACTGATAACCAGATGAAACCAGCTGAATAAACTTTGTGTCATAATTTCAGGACTCTTGGATTCTCATAGTCCTTATTCTTGGCCATTCCTCGACATACCTCGAAAATGTTTATGGATCTCACCAGAGGACATTGACTGATTATTACATCTTTATCAGAACTCTTACAATGCCCTCGAACATCTATGATCATGCTCACCACTCTCGTCTCCCCCCTCTGCAGTATGTCTGTCACTATGTGCTTGTTTGTACAAGGTGTATTTTTTAATATCAGAGTTTTTTTCTTGTCAGGCATGAAAAAAAAAGTCTGATAGGAATTTTTTCGCCTCCAAACCCTACGTGTCCAGTTTATCACTTTTATTGTCTGTCCAAATAGGTCTCACTTGTAAATGAGTCTTTGAGGCTCAACATGACTTATCTGTTTAAATAAAGGTTGAATGAACTCGGTGGCCAGAGGTGGTTCCACTGTCATCAACCACTTCGGTTTATGTGGTTCAGGCATTTATCTCCTCCTGGGTGTCCCAATTTGGTGTGCCGTTGGATTTGACTTTTGACAGGGGTCCCCAGTTCACCTCAGTTGTAGACTACAGTGGCAGAGAACCTTGGGGTTAAACTCCACTGCGCTACTGCCTACCACCCGCAGGCCAATGGTCTTTGTGAGAGGTTCCACTGCTCAATGAAGGCTGCATTGCGGGCCTCACTGGTGGATAATGGTTGGAAAGATCACCTACCCTGGGTTTTGTTGGGCCTGCGTTCGGCTCCTAAAGAGGACCTCCAATTCCTTCAGCTGAGTTGGTCCTGGGCCAGCCTTTACCAGGGGAGTTTCTTCCATGTCCGGTTGCTCCCAAGAGGAGTAGAGTAGTCCTCCTAACAGGGGAAAATAGATCTTTTGCCCCATTGGCAGCACATCACTGCCTTCTGCAGGTGTTTGGGCCGAAAGACCTTATGTCTGCCGACTATGTATTTATCCGCAATGACGCCCACCGTTCACCACTTCAGCCTCCTTATGAAGGTCCATTTCGTGTTTTGGAGAGGGGACCAAAGGATTTTTTAGGTGGAGTTGGGGAGTAATCAAGAGAGTGTTTTAGTGGACTGTTTGAAACCAGCTCATGTGTTACCAGGGGACCCGGTTGTGTTGGCTCAGCCACCTAGTCATGGCCGTTTCCTAGTTTCTTTGCCCACTCTTCTGGGTTTTCCCCCTACTGCTGGGTTGTCCCACTCAGGTGGACAGTTTTGTGGCAGTTGGTCCGGAGAGTCTTTTTCCTGTTGTTGTGAAGAGCAGCCGTGGTGGCCGCCTTACTAAACTCCCTATCTGTTACCGTTAGGTATTTCATTTGTTTTTTGTGTTTTACACCTGTGATGTGGTTTCACATATGTATTTTTGTGTTTGTGACATTCTGTGTGTTTGGGGGGGGGTTGTGTGGCAGACACAAACATATATATTTCACACCAGAATGTGCTCATGCTCATATTGTGAAAAGGACAGAATATAAGAGGAGAATACCCAATGGTTGTAATTCATACTTTTTTCTGATTTTTGATGTTGGAAGACGTTGAGAATAAAGTGAGACTCCAAAATGTTTTTGTCTCTTTCTGCTGACTTCCACATGCCAAGTCTTTGTGTGACTTAGTTCAATGTGGCAACTCCTGAAGAAGGAAGCAGCTGAAAAAAGAAGAAAAAATATATATACTGGGGATTTTACTACTTTGTGTATATAATTAAATTAGCAGACTTAAAATTGAAATTTTCTTTTTTTTTTCATTAGATTAGTTCATACAGCATTGTTTATCTTTAAAAACTAAATTTCTCCATTCTTTTTGCAAAAAGTTAATGCAGACAAATCAAAACAGATTTATCTTTGACACAAATTGTGTCATATTCAGGGGCGATTCTAGGATTTGACCTTTTGGGGTGCTTAGCCCCCAGTACTGACATTGGTTCTTGGCTTGAACAATGCATGCCATGGTGTGGTTTTTGAGGAGTGTTAAAGCATGCCTGGTGCAGATAAAAAAATACACACAAATCTGGTGTTCCTAGGCAGTCTCCCAGTCAGGGACTAACCAGGCCCGACCCTGCTTAGCATCTGAGATCGGGCCTGTTCAGGGTGGTATTGCCCTAAACGAGAAGCTCAGTCACAAATAGGACTTTTAAAGAATCATAATAAACAAAGACTAAACTTGTGCATCCAGAAGTTACAACATATATCTACATATAAACACACACAAAACAAAGCACAACTGTAGGGATGGCGCAATCTTGTGGTCCTTCCATGTCTGTGTTTCCTTGTGTGTGTGTCTCATTAATCTTTAATTCCACCTTCCGTTCCCAGCTGTTTGTAATCACGTCCTGTCTTGTCTGTGTATTTAAGCCTGTCTGTGAGTCTTGTCCTTTGTCGCATCATCGTTGGGTCTTCCTTGTCCTGTACTGATGTGTCCCATTGTGTTCCAGTCTTGAGTGTGAGTTGCTGCCACATCAGCCATTTGGGATTATTATTATTAAATATCTATATTTTTGTACCTCCTACATCCAGAGTCCTGTCTGTAACTATTACGTTCGCTCCTTGCCTGATAAATCCTGACAGTATGACGCGACCAAAATCAGAAACCAGCAGACAGAGTTCCTCTGTATCACTTACCTGCTCTCTCAAGCCCACGCAGATGGAGAAAACCGTGATCCGGTGCGGCGGGTTCCAGATCCAACTCGTGCCGGCACAAAGAAGTTACTGCCAGGAGGTGGAAATCCTGCCTTCTCCCCTCCTGGTCCTCAAAGAAAAGAGAAGGTCCTGGCTATGGGAAGACCGCCTGACCCATGAGCACAGTTCTTCTTCATCCTCAGCTCCATTCAGCTATTCAGGGTGGACATCGGGAGAGGATGCAGAGCCGGAGGACGAGCGCTGTTCCACTCCTGTCCCTCAGCCTTCTCGCCGCCGCCGGAGCGGCAGAAACTGAACCCGGAAGTGGTCCATGGCACTCGTCCCGGCACCTTCCACGTTTCTGACTCGGCTTGGCAGAGCTGAGCTTCCAGAAAATAATCCTGGCGCTACAGTGGAGACAGATTCTATTGCCTGACCTCCCAGGGTTAGGACAGAATCTGATGACTCGCCGTCGCTCTGGGCCGCTCTTGCTCGGTCCAGCAAAACTAAGCCAACTGAAACTAGTCCCGATGTCTCTATGGGGGCGGGTCCCGTCGTCTCACCTCAAAGGTTTCCGGTGAGGGCGGATC